CGCCGCATGGCTGACAGTGGGCACCGCATGGGCTCCGATGAGCGCCGCATGGCTGACAGTGGGCGGCGCATGGGCTCCGATGAGCGCCGCATGGCTGACAGTGGGCGGCGCATGAGCTCCGATGAGCACCGCATGTCTGACATTGGGTGGCGCATGGGCTCCGATGAGCGCCGCATGGCTGACAGTGGGCACCGCATGGGCTCCGATGAGCGCCGCATGGCTGACAGTGGGCGGCGCATGGGCTCCGATGAGCGCCGCATGACTGACAGTGGGCGGCGCATGGGCTCCGATGAGCGCCGCATGGCTGACAGTGGGCGGCGCATGGGCTCCGATGAGCGCCGCATGGCTGACAGTGGGCGGCGCATGGGCTCCGACAGCTCTGAGGATGAGCGCTGGCTCCCCATTCTGCCCCTGTCCAAAAGCTCCATGGAGGTGGCAGCCAGCCGATACCGTCGGGCAGAGCTGATACCATCTGGGCCGGAGTTGCCCAAGAGTATCAGCACCGCTGTCTGCTCCCATGGGGGTGAGGGGGCCGACACTTGTCCTCCCTCAGGGGGCAGGGCCTGCAGCCCCCACACCTACGAGGGGTGTGTCTCACCTGGTCCTGATGGGAGGACCACTGCCCCCCTCTGTGGAGAACCAGGAACGTCCAATGAAGGTGGCTCCAAGATGAGCTGTGCTACCAGGCGAGGCCCAGGCTTTGTTCAGCTGCAGGCCGCGAGGACATGGCCCTGCAGTGGACCCATACCCTCTGCCCTCCGTGCATCTTCCATCAGCGACCCCGCATTTGACACCAAGCTGAAGAAGTGCCACCGTCACCATGCCGACCTCCCTGACCTGCGACCGGACCGCACATGCAGGGAGGCCGAAACCATGACCACCCGTGCAGAGCTGAGGGACGTGGGGGTGCAGACTGTGACCCCTGTGGGGAGGGTCGCAGGCTGGGGGTTCCCGGTGAAGGATGTGGTATGGGACGAGCATGGGGGCCCGCTGGACCCCACAGAGCTGAACCGGTCCATCCGGAACCATCTGGAGCTGCAGGTCGCTGAGGCCACCGGCAGCTGTGAGGGTGATCCTGACAGACAGGAAACACCAGCGCCCACACAGGCCTGGTCTCGGCGGACGGGGGGGCGACTGAAGCTATTTGCCTGCTGCATCCGACCCAGTACGATGGCAGACTGAGAGAGGAACCCAGCCATCTGCTCAGAAGATGCCAGATACAAACAGATGACCAAGAGTGTCACCAGAAGGTGGACCATGTCATGCCAGCGCACTGCCCTGATAGGCTCTCTCACCTGGAGTAACCCCAGGTGATGGGCTGTTTGATGGTGATGCACTGCTCTGATTGGCTATCCCACCAAGGCAGTCAGGGAACTGTTAACACACAAAATCAAAAAGTGTAACTAGATCTGGATAAAAAAATGGCCCAGGAGCAAAAATACCCTTTGCCCATAGAGAAATCACATTATTACATCATTAATCAATCAGCTTACCAGATTACCGCAGCCTGGTGTTGCACTGAACTGGGCCAGGTTAAGATAAGATAAGCTGAACTTTGTTAATCCTGCGAAGGGAAAGTTCAGTGTTACAGCAGCAGTTATAGACAGGATCAGACAATACGAACAACATGAGCACAGTACGGAAGGACAAAAATATATAAATAAATAGAATGGACTCTATGCACTCAACTGAATGGCAGCCATGGTCTAAG